GAACAAAAGGATAGCAACTTGTCTGTTCCCCTTCCCCCGATTCCCCAATAAAAATCTTAAAAAAAAAAAAAAAAAGAATATGTGCTTTAGAGCCGGGTGTGGGGTTGGAAACCCTGCCCTACCTCCACCCCATACACCTCGTTTTGTCATTGACCAGGTTACTTGAAATAGCTCAGGATCTTTCATCCTTCATAAGGGGATAATAATGTCTAGTAGGGTTGTTCTAGGGAAAAAGCAAACTACATATAAAGCACTTAGTGTAATGCCTGGTACCTATTAGATGATCAGGCAATTAACGGTTTTTCACTTCTCCCCAAGGTAGGAACTCCCATCCCCCATTTATTCTCATTGCTTCCTCATCTTAACATAATGGCCCCCTGTACTGTGGTATGCTTACTGTGGATCATGCAAGATTTGGGGGCCAATCCTAGTTCGCCTTCCATCTTGACCCTTTGGGGTTTCATGCAATGTGTCTTCATCTCCAGGTTGCTAAACTCAAGGACTTTTGTGTTAAATTATTGTTACTCTGGGTTCTGCCTCCCCCCTTCTCTGCTCTCTCCTAAGTGAAAAGATAGCTTTTAAGCAGCAGAGTTGAGTGAGCTGCCCCCCTCTTTCTCTGTATAGTCATCACCTTTAGGTCCATTCTCTTTAAAGTGCCTTTCCTCCTACCAGCAATACCCTTGAATTGCTTTCTCACTGTTTGAGAACGGGGAGGGTGTATTGCCTTCCAGGTTCCGGAGGTGAATAGTCTTTCCACAGCCTCCTGTTTCTATTTTGTGGCTTCGTCTGTCACCTGCCTTGGGGTGCTCCCCTGAGGGGTGTTGGGAGTGAGGAAGGGGCAGGGATGTGTGGTAGGCCGTACAGTCTGTATTGGATTAGGCCTTCACCTTAGAGTCAGCATGTTCTTTTTGTTTATTTTGTTCTGTTAGGTCTCCCAGGTCTGAGACTCTGCAGGAGAGTACAAGGCAGGACCTCTGGTTTGGAGTTAATGTATGTTTGTATATAGCTGCCCAGATGAGTTAGGTTTGCACCTATTGTTGAGAAAACACTGAATAATTGCAACCAGATTGCATTCTTTCTTTTTGGGTAACCCAGCTTGGTTTTGTTTTGTTCTGTGTTGGTTGGTTTTTTTGTTTTTTTTTGGTTATGAATTTGTCTTAACGGGATTATACTGAATAGATAAGACTTAGTGGATTCAGACAGATGGGACTGATTTCATACCCTACCTGTGTCATCTGGGAGAGTTACTTAACTACTGAGCTTGAGTTTGTTTTTGTTTTTGTTTTTTTTTCATCTGAATGGTGAAAATAATATCTCCCTTGTGAATTTTTGTAGAAACGCTAATTTACATAAATTAGCTGGTCTGTGGCATATAAGCACTCAGGGAATGGTAGTTAATAGGGATATTGAGAATGATACTAACATTATTTGCAATATAAGAATATAAAAGTTAATTTGGAAATTTTGATCTTGTATTACCAAAATTACTATTCACTGTCATTTTACTGCTAGGATTTTTTTTTTTTTTAAACAGATGTATGTGGCAGTTCTGAAATCTTTGTAAATTTCTTTCTTTTTTTTAAGTCGTTCAGCATCTGAGGAAGCTTCTGGTTCTGACTCAGGCAGCCAGTCGGAGAGCGAGCAAGGCAGCGATCCGGGAAGTGGCCATGGCAGCGAGTCCAATAGCAGCTCCGAATCTTCAGACAGTCAGTCAGAATCCGAGAGCGAATCGGCAGGTTCCAAATCCCAGCCAGTCCTGCCAGAAGCCAAAGAGAAGCCAGCCTCTAAGAAGGAACGGATAGCAGATGTGAAGAAGGTATCTGCTTTGCCGAACAGTACAAGTGGGTTGCTAGCTGGGACCAGGGAGCCGACCTTCATTTCCCCAAGCTCATTAGCATATCTTGATAAGGGAAATTAACAGCCACTTTTTCTAATAACATACTGTCTCTGGGTGTCAGTCGGGACTGCTTTCTGCTCTACTAGTTGATATATTAGACACAGGCTCTGAGGAAACTAATTACAAATTCTAGGGCAAGAATGCAGATTTCTATATAAAGCTTAATGAGGGGTAATCACAACCCAAGAATAAGGGCAGTTTTTGTTATATTTGAAGAGAAATACTTGTCACAGAAAAAAAGTTAATCTGTACCCAGGCAGTGTAGGTATTTTTTGCTGCACAGAAGAGCCTTCCAGCAAAGAGTGCAGAAAGGCAAAAAATGAAGTTGCCTAGCATTTTCTCACTGGTGCCCAAACTTGGGAATGCATTCCTTTTGGGGAAAAATTACTGCATTTTAGTCATAAGAATGCAGCTGATCTCTTAAAATGCCATTTTGAGAGAATAATGTTTGAATCACTGAAAATACAAAAGAATACTGCTTTTAGAAATTTAAAAGTATCCAATGAAATGAAAAGCTTTATGCTACATCAGTTTTTATTCTTCTAAGATACAAGTCTACATCTGCATATTCAGCTTTTGTTAGTAATACAAATGATTTTAAGTGACCTGCAAATTGTACAGAACAGTTAAAAACAAAAATTAAAACTGCTTTTAACTCTTGAGGCAGAATTGGGATTAACTATGTTAATTTAAGTCCTGTTCCTAGCATAACCGTTTCTTAACCATTGCTTAACGGTAAGTGACCCTTAGGTTGCTGAATGCTAACAGTAGTGTCAGGGGTAGGAAAATGAAAGTTGTTCTTGCTAATGAATTCATCACCGGAGGAGTGACCTTCAGCCACTTGAGTGCGGTGCCCTGTAGCCTGATCACTGTATCGGGGGTACCTTTCACAAGACACAATTTAAGTGGTGACTTATTTCATTCCAAAAGACCCCGCCATGTAGAAGTAACAACTGAGAGAGCTTGCTCAGAGTGTCATTCAACTCAAATTGACCACCCAGACTCGAAGCAGAAGTCCTTGCTTGGCGATCTCAGAGCCTGAGGCCTGAGCCTGGTTTCATATATACATCTAGACCAGGTGCTCTTCTCAGAAGCCCACAACCCGTGTTTGAATGAAGTATAATAGACATATATAAGTTTGGCTATATCTTTCTTCTGTACAGTGGAGAGCTCTTGTAGGTTAAAGGAAACCCTAAAAACCATGACTTGCGTAGTATGTTAAAAACTTGATGGAAATGGTGTTGACTATCTAGGATTCACCACTGTTAACTGTGAGACCTCGTATATTCGACTTCATTTAAAAAGATAAAGAATTATATGAAGTCTGAATTTCAGGTTAGAAATAACAGCTGCAGGCAGAAATAGTATAATACACTTTTAAAGTTAAGGTGATCAGTTCTGAAATGTTTATAAAGTTAGCACATGAACATACCAGCCAGTTAGAAAGATTAGATTGTGGCTTTAATGATGATAACTCTAAAAGGAGGGCTTTTAAAGAAGGTTCTTTGTTTTCTGTATACACGTCTCTTTCATATGGTAGCTTTTTCATTGAAGAGTTGAATCAGATATCATTAGCCCTCACAAGGACATCTAGGAACACAAGATGATTTCAGGATATATGCATTACGGTATATAATGTAATGAAGTCCCAACAGTTGAGCCTGAATGCCTCTCTAATATTTTTTTTTAAGCTGAGCCATCCTTCCACCTATTGGCAGCTCAGCGGCAGCTCGGCCTGGGCCGGGACTCAAACCATTGTTGCTCAGAGCTCACACTCTTGAGTGAGCTCTTAACCAACTGAGCCACTCGGCCAGCCCTGCCTCTAATATTTTGAAATGATAAAACAAATTGATGTAGTGACACATAATTTAGCCACCCCAGTTAATAAAAGCTCCATAAATACCCATGTTGAGAATTAATTTCATAGCTCTAGTAGTAGAAATTGAAGAAGGGGCGGGGAGGGGGTTGGCAGACAGGGCCAGAGGAAATCTCTTTGTCTCTTTCCTTTCTCGGCCAGATTTGTTCAGTGTTCTCTGCGTTTGCTGCCTTTTCGGCCTAGATTTCCTACCACGTGGCTATTCCAGGCTCCTGGTTGGAACTTTTGTCTTCTGACTCTGAGATTATTCTAAGTCCATTTCGGATTTTACACCTTCATAAACTGAAGACATTGGGTTACATGATTACATTGGATTCTAGTTCTGAAACACCTATTTCCTGGAACATTTCACTTGTTTTCTTTGGAGGCCTTGGTTTTCTATAGCTTACCTGTTTCTAAAGGCACTGTTGACAATGTCTTCTTCCCTTGGCTTAGTGACATTGTTTATTTCTGGGTCATCTTTCACCAGTTTTGTCTTTTTTGGGGTCCACTTTCCACATTTCCTGAGTCTCAGCCAGTGGCTCCCCCTCTTTCCAAATATTTTCCTGACATTAAGTGTCACCTGTGTGCTGACGACAAACCCACCTTTCTAATCTTGATTGTCAAATATCTCTTCTACATGTTTAATTCCTGTTAAACATTTTCACTTCAGTGTTCTACAAGGCGTTCACATTCATTTTGTCTACATGTGATTGATTTTTATTAGAAGCACACACAATATACTTAACAGCAGTATCTGTGGGAAGAGAGTGAGATTGGGGGTTAGATTCTAATCATTAGTGGTTGAGGAAGGAGGGGGCCTTTTTTTTACACTTTTTCTTCGGCTTTATTGGTTTGAGTCTTTTTAAGATATTGTTAATATATTGTGAAAATAATTTTCTCTTTAATCCCTCTAAACTTGATGTTTTTGGATCACTGATGAGGACTGTTACTAAAAATAGTTCTTAAAAGCAGAGGGCTAATTTCTGGTGTAAAATAAAATCAGATGTGCTAGAGAAAGAATGGCAGTGGTTCTCATTCTGAAAGCTTGTTGCTAAATGTTAGAAATACCTAATATGCACTACCTGGCATGTTACATGTCCTGAGGAATTAATTTAAAAAATATACAAATACTCCGATTCTTACTTAATTAGACTTGGTGATGCCCTGCTTATGTTTTGAGTCTTTCAGATGGATCAGTATGCAGTCAGCGCTAAAACTGGAAAGCATTAGGGACTTAAAATTCATCAGTAAATACTTTGTCTTTAGTGGGTGCAGTTCTCTTGCCTTGCCATATTATTCAAGTGTGTTTACATTATAATGATGGGTAAGCAGTGTGCCATATAGTTTACTAGTCATCAGTAATGAATAGGGATTGTTAAACGCTGTGTTCTAGGATAATATATATGCCTTATTCTTTTTAAAGATGGTACTTTATTATGGCCTCATAAATTGAACAAAACAACCCTTTTGATATTTAGTTACTTGAATTCTTTTAAATTAAAATACACGTTCCAGTAATGACAATAAGTAAATGGGGGTCAAGAAAAAAAGATTCACGCTTGGTCTGTTAATTTTACAGATGTGGGAAGAATATCCTGATGTTTATGGGGTTAGGCGGTCAAACCGAAGCAGACAAGAACCATCACGATTTAATATTAAGGAGGAGGTAAGAAAAAAAGAATGTTTTAAGGGGATACCTTTAAACTCCTTATCTTACCTCATCCTTTCTGACTGTAGGCGATATTACCATTAATTAAGAAGACTGAACTTCAGGCATGGGCGTTAAGTGACTCTGGTGTGAGCTTTTGCTACCCAGTATTGTGTGAAAAACCACACGTGGCTTTAATAAAAAAGAAACTACCAGAAAGATCATGTCAAAGTGAATGTTCTAGTAGAGTATGTGAGAGTATTACAGAACTGGCTTCTATATTTTGTTGTCAATTTTTTTGTTTGTTTGTTTTGTTTAGTTTCAGGTGTACAAAACAATGTAATAGTTAGACATTTACACCCTGTTGTCCCTTTTTTTTATTTTTTCGTTTTTTTCATAGTGAAATTGATTGTAGCAAGAGGTTAGTTTTTTAAATACCTAATTTCTAAATCTCTCCTAGATTGTGTCAAATGAGTTACTTGCCTGGTAAACAAATACAACAAGGGAAGTAGTTTCAGATTTATTTATGAGAAAGGAGGGAGAGTTTGCTTGACATAGTAATGTATTTTATCTAATTTCTTTAAATTTGGTTTCTGAGCTCATTTTCAGTGTGCAGTATAAAATGTTGCACACGTTTACTGTCTTAATTGTGAGAGATTGAATAGAATGGTGATTTTAAAATTAGTGTATGTACTAGGTTCTTTGGTTTCTATGGAATCAGACTTTTCTCACCTTTCTCAGTCTGTGTGATATTTTTGTGGATTCTTACTTCTATATTAGGTTTATATATATGTTCTAAAGAGATGCTCTTTGTCTCTCAGTGAAATGTCCCCCTTCTGCATCTTAGGAGGACTTCGGTATTCTTAACTATAACATCCTTCTTCTGATGAAAGCTAAATGTTAATAGCCCAAGGTTGGTTAGATGAGGGTGGGTTTTAGTAAATGTCCTTTATATATCTAATTGACTGTAACATCTGCTTTGCATTTGTAGTGTTTTATTTTGAGTGACCTCTGAGCTGGTTTGCCTTAGCTGTCTTTTTACATAGCGTCTAGACAAACTTACTACTGAGCCATGTTATAACCAGTCACACAGTTTTGTAAATCCTTTTCTCTTTGGTATATTTCAATACATCAACACATTCTCTGTAAGGCACAAGACTAACAACGATCAGAGGAGTTTGCCACTTTATTTATTAATTTCGGGGAGACAGAGCTGTTCAGGTGTCTTTCCTGAAGCTGTTAGTGAGCACTTTCGGCTTATGATTGAACACGCTCTTTAAGCAGTGTAAAATAAAACATTGTCGGAAAAGTCATGACGCGTTTTTGCAACGAAAAACAAAAAAAAAAACTTAATGACTTTTTCGACAACCCAATAGATCAGTAGTCACCGCCTTTAACGGCACATTAAATGTTGTGGCATTTTTATATGATATTCTAGATCTGCGGTATCTAGTATGGTCAGCACCAGACCTGTGGCTTTTAAAATTAAAGTTGAGTAAGCTGAAAAATCCCATTCCTTAGTCACAGTAGCCCCATGTCAGGGGCTCAGTAGTCACATGCGGCTGCTGGCTACAATATCGGACATTGCAGATACAGACCATTTCCATAACCCCAGAAAATTTCATTGGACTTGCTCTCCTAGAAGTTGAGCTGAGAGAAATGCTTCCTGGCACTAGAGAGAACTCGGTGATGACAGACAGAAGTTAATTTCCAAAGCAGAAGAAGAGTGAGCACCTCCAAACGAGTGCTTAAGTTCCTTTCTGTCTAAAAGCTCGCATTGAATACTGTTATATGGAGTGGATGGTTGAACCAGGGGGTGGTGGTGTCCCTAAGAACTGTGAATTAAAGTCTGTGATCATTTCTCCCCCTCACACACTGAAGGCAAGTAGCGGGTCTGAGAGTGGGAGCCCAAAGAGAAGAGGCCAGAGGCAGCTGAAAAAACAGTAAGTCTTCCATGGGGGACATTCCTTTACCTCATACGTAGTGGGGCGCATGTTAGCATCTCTGGGACTGCGTTCCTGTGTCTTGAGTCTACCCCAGGTCCCAGAGTCTTCTTCTGTCTCTTGTTATCTTGGGTCACCGTCCAGCTTGATCTGCTGTAGCAGCAGCACACGAAGCCCAAGATTCTCGCTTTTCCACGTGTAAGTATTCTGCACATGCTTGGGCTCCTTGCTGGGGGCTGTCCCCAGCTTATGCCATCTGCTTACCCCAGGGAGCTCAATAATTTTCCCCCAAAAAATGTGCACAGATACCAAATATGTAGGTATTTGGTGTTCCGTTCTAGTTAGGCAAGGAACATATGTAGATTTGCCGTTCTTCATTTCCATTTTTTTTTGTGTTGGCATGGCAACATTAGATTGGTTGGGCACCCATGTTAATATGAAATTTCACATTGTCATTTCCATTAATTTTAATATTGCAGTCAACATTGTAATTTGTGGGGTTAATGTGAAATTCCTTTATAACAGATTCTATATTATTTTAAAATCGATTTGAAAAATTCTTATGGTAAAAAAATACTTGATTTTTTTTTTTGAGACTACTTAAATGTTTTTTGGAAGCGGTGTGATTCCTTTGACAATCTGGATGCTACAGCCCGTCTCCTCAGAAATATGTAGATATCCCAAACTCTGCACACACATTCAGAGGCTTCTCATGGTAAACAGTTGTCCATGGCCCCTAGTAAAGAGTCCTTGTTCCGTATTCTCCGTTCTAAAATATTGGTTATCTTACATAAGTATTTGGCCTAAGGCAAAGTGATCTGAGTTTTCAAAATCCATTTCCTCATCTTCAGAATAGAGTAATGCGTATTCTATTGACCTAGCAGAGTTATTAGAAAATATACTATGTCCAGTGTTTAATATTACTCTCCTCAGAGCACTTATCATTTGCATTTGTATTCTAATTGTTTAGTTGGAGTTGGAGAAATAGTAACTCCAGGCAAGTCTGCACGTTTTGGTATCTTAGAAGGTTATTCTACCCCAATCCCATGGCCTGCTTGGAGATTGTGCTGCTCTCAGTTTACCAATCCAGATGGCCTTTGGGAAGCCCACGAATGTGCTGTTTACTCCATCTGGCTACATTCCGCTGGTCTCTTGACTGGGATCCAGATGGTGCTGTGCTTGAAAACCATGACTTCCCATTTTAATGGCCTTATCCTGGTGTGCAGGAGGAGCCCACATATTGTCAGCCATGTGCAACTCATCAGCCTTCCTCTTTTGGCAGGCTTCCCTACTTAATGTTCCCTCTCCTGTCAATCCTAAGAGCTCCCCAGAATTGGCAACTCTCGGAGGTCTTCACAGACCTTTCTTTTCCCAGAGGAGAACCTTTTAGTTCCTTGCAGAGGGGCATGTGTGTCTTCTGGAACGCAGCTTCCCTGCCCCTGGGGCTCTTCCTTACCACAGCTGAGGTGGTTCCCTGCACCCTTGTTTGTTTGGGCACCGGGCAAGCCTCACTTCCTGCTGTCCTCTGGGCAGCTGATGAGTCCTGGGCTTGTGGCGAGCTCTTCTTCTGAGTCAGTAAGGTCACTCGGAGGAGGTCCTGCAGCTGCTAAGACTCAGGTTGTAAGGCACGCTGCTAAAGGGGCCTTCTGTGATCTGAGCAAGTGTGACCCACCTCGTGTGTGTGCACACGATTTTCAGAATTCAGACTCACTCAAAGGGAGGGGAAATTTGGAAATATTAGCACAAGGAAATGCTTTTCTGAAACCCTGCAGACTACCACAGATGTTAAAGGTTTTTAAGAGGAGCTATTTTTTTTAAACTTTTTTTTTTTTTGAATTAATTTCAAACTTCAGAAAAGTTGTGAGAATACAAGCACAAAGAATGCTTGTGTACTTTACCCAGCTTTACCACGAGTTACCATTTTTGCCCCATTTGCTTTATTGTTGTGGGTGTTCTCTTTATATATGCACATGTAACATTTTTTCTGAACCATTTCAGACAACATTCATACATCATGTCCTTTTACCCTTAAATACTTACGTGTGTGTTTCCTAAGAATTAAAGGATATGTATTCTGTTTCATAAGCACAGTACAATTTTGACATAAATAGATTTAGCATTGCTGAAACACTTGTAATTCATATTCCCATTTTTGTCAATCGACCCAGTAATATATAACATAAAAGACCCACTCTTTTATAACATTTTGCCACCTCCACTGTAAGATCCAGTCTAGGTTTCGATATTGTGTTAATGGTCACGTTTCTTTAACCTAGATAGAGCCTTTCACACGCTTGCTTTGTTGTTATGACGTTGACATTTTCGAAGAATACAATCATACAAGGGACTAACTCCCCTGAATATTAGTGTGAAGTAGCATTTTAAAAATGTAGAAGTTAGCATAATGCTCCTGCACAGTACATATGCAGGGTTGGGAAGTCATCTTTTTTGTAACCCATGCTCTTTTCACCTCACCTCTCATACAGACTTAATATTACTAACTTACTTTTAAAATCCCGTTGTTGAAAATTCAAACACAATTTAAAAGAATCCAGCCATTTTCAAATACACATACATAGAAAATCATTCAATGCCTTCTAAGCCTCCGATTGTTCAGATCCTCGCAGAATGTGTAAGCCTGGTTGTAATTTTTCCTGGTTCTTTGGTTTTCATGGGGTGATGGTTGAGAGTAGCAGGGCTGTGGGTTTGACATGTAGCCCAACAACTTGTTCTCACGAGGCTTTAGTTTCCTTTTTTAGGAGGCCTTTGGACCAGTTGATTTGCTAAGTTGATTTTACATTCTCATATTGGAAGAATCTGAGTCCTCCTGGTTGTCCCTAAGTCTATAATTTAACTGGAAATCTCTAGCCTCAACATTCGTTTTCTCAGTGTTCACTGCCATTTTCGTCTCCTAAAATAATAGAACTGGACCGTCTAGCTGCCCTGATTTAGTTTCTCAATTTCTGGTGGTTATGTAAATTACAGGCAATACTTAGGATGTTTCTCATCTGATCCACTCTCCCTTAGGTCTTAACCGTTCGTGTTCTTTTAAGCTTGTTCCTGTGAAACCACTTGTCCCCGGCTTGACTGTGTGAGCCTCTTCTGAAGGGTCACCTGTTCTGGACTTGGTCCAGGGGACACTGCAGCCTCATGTGCCAGTCTCCCAATTGCTGGAGACATCTTCCTTTCTTCCTTGTCATCACTTGATATTCCTTGGTTTCTTTAGCAGACTTGTATGGTATCAGGCTCTAGGGAAGGAGAATAAGACAGATGCCCAGGGTGTAGTTAGATTATAAGGAGATCTTTGTTTTAAAGAGAGACTGAAGGATACTAGGCAATGCTAATAGGCCTTAGTGTCTTACCCGTCTGCTTCCAAAAGTGCTCTACCTGTCTGACTGATAAACTGATATGACTCGTTCTTTAATTATTCCTTTGGTTAACAAAGGAGTATCTATTTGCCTGCCTTTGAGCTAAGCGCTGGTATAGAGATGAACAAAAATGGCCCTGCCCACAAGAAGTCAGCTACTATTAGAGAAATGGATACGAAACAGTGCCGGTAATGCACATGAAAGTGCTCCACTGCTGTTTCATGGAGGGCTTGATTTTTTTTGTTTTGTTTGTTACTTCCTAACGTCTACACTGACTCAGGTGTAGGGTGGCTCCTGCACCTTTTAGTAAGGTTCTAAGGAATTCGTACATTGGCCACCTTCTTTCAGCAAGCTTCCACTATTAATTGCTTTGACCTCTTCTTCCATGAAGAATATTGGTTTGACTGTGCAATTCTGCAACAGTTGTCTTTAACTTGACCTCATTTCCTGTACACGACCAAGAGGCTCAGTGTAAATGTTTTGTTTACAAAGAAACCCCAGGTACTTGCATGGTTTTTTTTTTTTGGTTCTCTCCCCACTCCCCCCATGCTCAATGCTCAGTAGCTATTTTATGTTTCTCCCTTCTTACATACAGGTGAGAAATGACCTAAGTCCCTGTGATATTTTGTTTGGTTTTCAAGTAAACTTCAGAAACTGTTTGGGGTAGTAGGCTACCTATAGGGTATGGCTCTTTCATACCTTCTAAGATCTCAAGGATCAAAGGAACACCTACCATATCTAATAATGATTAAAAACAACATCTTTAGCTGAACAGATAATTTAGTACGTAGTAGGTTTATCATTGAAAAATAATTTTAGGGACTGTTTCCTCAAATGTATTCTAAAGATGTTAAAAGATCTAGTATAGTAGTTCTCAAAAAAGCCTCTAAGCACTATCAGCATCATCTGTAAATTTGTTAAGTTAAATTTTTAGGTCTCACATCACTTAAGTGAATAAGAAACTGTGGCTATGACCCCAAAATCTGTTTTAATAAGCCCGTTAGGTGGTTCTGATCCACGCTAAAATTTGAGAACCGCTGATTGAATATTATATTATGGCTTCAGTCTGGTCAATGATAGTAAAATCATAGAATATGGGATTTCATGGCATTTTTTTTCCAGAACAGGTAGTTTAAAAAACACATTGTTAGTTTCCATTTTCATTTATTTTCGTTACAAGACATGAAATAGGAATAGGTGTTACATAGTCCAGGTTGGAACACAACCAAAATTTCCATGGAGCTGACATAAATCTCTTGTAGCATAATATCTAAACTATACATGTTTTGCCTTCGGACAATTTGATCAAAATCGGTGCTGTCAGATTCTTCAAGCTAAACAGTTGGGAAGAATTCTGTTAGAAAAAAATTATTCTGTTTTGCTTTCGATCACAGAGAAAAATGGAAACGGGAGCCCTCGGAAGATGAACAGGAGCAAGGCACTAGTGCAGAGAGTGAACCGGAGCAAAAGAAAGTGAAAGCCAGAAGACCTGTCCCCAGAAGGTGCAGTGTTTGCTTCAGCATTTGCGTCGGGTCCAGCTTAACTTGTGTTCAGTTGGGAAGATGCAGTGCTCGAACGAGAGCCTTCACTGGGATACAGTGGTTTGTGATTCTGGGTTTTGAGTGTCCGGTTCACTTCTTGCCAGCTTACAGCTAGCTAGCGATCGGATGGCTGGGCTGCTTACGTTGAATGTGAGTGTTTGCGTGGCTTGTAGCTCAGAGTGCCACTTACTGTTTCTTACTCCATGGCCCGTTAGTTATGAGGGAAGAATGGATCTTTTGCTCTTAAAAAAAACAGCTTCCTGTGTATTTGACTTGTGTACAAGTTCTTTTTTGGGGGGAACTACGTTGAAAACCCTGATGTCTGGTCAAAAGCCTCCTTCACTGTTTATTACCTTGTTCAGCTCATCTGTATAATGGTAAGCAGATCATCTGTTTGTGCAGAGAAGGAAGCAGGCCGAGGTGGCAGGAACCTTTGGTCATTTTTGATCAGAGAGTTGGCAGCACAAGGAACTGTTGATGGGGCAGGAAGGCCTAAGGTAGTGGCCCCAGGAGAATTGACCTCCTTGCAGTATTGCTAATGTGGGGTTGGCACGCTGGAGCCTATGGGCCAAATCCCACTCACCACCCCATTTGGTATGGCCTGCCAGCTAACTGTAGCTTTTATAGGTGAACATTTATAGTTTGATGGCAGGGAACACTGAGTTTGAATTCCAATTAAGTGGAAAAAAAAAAAAAAGCCACTATTCTTCTCATTCGTAGATAGGTATTATAAAAAAATACCCTGATTATTGTTTTATTTTGAATTTTGTTAGTAAAAAAGGAAAACTTATTTTTTTTTCTTTATAAGCCAAACATTTTTACCCTCTGGCCATTTACATCAAACACTTGTCACCCCCTGGCCTGGGACATTCTAACTGACCCTCATCCCATCCTTCAGAAGGGAAATTCATCATCTGAGTTTAAGCTGTCAGGACTGGAATGCCACTCCAGTTCTGTCTTCTAGATTTTACCTGTAATTCATTGAATCCTTGATCATCTATCCAAATTGCCCACCCAAGAGATGCCAGCAGCAGCGTGCTGATGCATATTTTTATGTCAGGTGACTTTGAACAGTTGAGAACCATTGCCCCAGAACCCACTATGCCTCCTATAAATGATTGAGGATTATCAGCATTAGAATCACTTTTGTGTTGAAAAGGCAGATTTCCAGCGAATTAAGAAGCTTAGAGAATGGGACCCAGGAATATACATTTCTAACAGCCCCCCCCTGGTTTATCCTACGTGTGTATGTATCCCTGCTCTGGGAAATATAATTATATAGATTTGAAGTAAACACCGAATGATAGAGTAAAAACTGCCATTTTTTTTGTCTTCTCATTTTAGAACAGTGCCCAAACCTCGGGTTAAAAAGCCTCCTAAAGCTCAGCGTGGAAAGAAAAAAAAGCAAGAGTCTTCTGATGATGATGATGATGACGACGAAGCTCCCAAAAGGCAGACTCGTCGCAGAGCAGCCAAAAACGTTAGGTAGGTTATGCCCCAGAAGTGTTTTGTTAGTGTGAGGGTGATAGTGTAGTTGGTTAGAACTTGGTTCCAAGTCCAGGGTTATGCATCTGATAGGCAAAAATGACGACCTATATATCCTGGAGAGGCATTTAGAAATCTGATCCATGTTCTGGCAAAAAGAATGATATTGGCCAACGGGAATATGGAAAGAGTAGCAATAGCTCATTTCAAGCCTTCATTCCTATTAAGAGCTGCTTCAAGTTCATGTTCTGTCTAGGTGGCTTAGCGATATTTTCTTCATTAACATCCTCTTTAAGGAAAGATGTTTGGGTTGTGTTCTTGCTTCTTAATTGCTCTTTGAAGCAGACAAATTCTTAGGAAGTTCAGGCAAAAGAATTCTTAGGAAATTTGTATAGATATTTGGGTATAATTTATCAAGCTTAGTGATAACATAAGGAGTACTAATAGAAAATGAAATAAAGGAGTAGGTACATACAAACATTAATATTTTACTTTATACGAATCAAAGGGCATTTAATTTTCTCTTAGGGGATGTGCAGGTGTCTTTTGGTCTACTTAGAGATGGTGAAACAACTCTGGAGATAGTAATAATGGTCCCAGTAATAATGGCCCCGGTATATCCAGTTAATAATTCCAAAGCTGGGACTAGGCTTTGAAAAGTTAATGCAGAGCTTAGCACTTCTTCCTCCTACAACTACGCTGCACCCAGGAGTGTGTTCTTCCTTTGTTGTGACTCTCAAACCATTTGTTGTCACTATATGGTGGAAGGTTACATTTGAATATTTTATTACCAGGAAGAATGTATGTTGAAGTTCTCAACAGTTTGAAAATACTTAAATTTCATATTCTTGTTATTAGGAGACAAAATACGGGTTGAAACACTTAAATCTTAGAAATGTTGCTTTTGTTATGCCTTACAGTCACAACTTTTTTCATTTGCTATGCATTTTCTTTTTATGTAGGTGTTTCCTCATTTACACAGTAACGATCTCACTAAAAAATGGAAACATAGGCATGTCCTTGTAGATTTCTGTATCTTGCTTACACAAATCATTATAAATATAGCTTGAAATATGAGTTAGCCTTCCTATAGTTTTCTGTGAACATGTATTAATACACTGAGTAGCAAAAAATGAACCTGGAGCCCACTTTGTATGTGGCTGATTCGTAAAACAGCATTTTGGAGCCAAAAGTGTATGGTTCCTTATTATAACGATGTTGTGTATTGCAGTGTTAAATTCTGAAAAGACAGTTTCCTGTTTATTTAGCACTGTTTCTCCTGCAGTTACAAAGAAGATGATGATTTTGAGACCGACTCAGACGACCTCATCGAAATGACTGGGGAAGGGGTTGATGAACAGCAGGATAATAGTGAAACTATTGAGAAGGTCTTAGATTCCAGGCTCGGGAAGAAAGGAGGTACGTGTCTTTGGGAAGCAAGTTACTTTTTATGTCTGCACAGGAAGGCACACATTTTACGTATTTCAACTCTGAAATGATGAATTTCAGTCTGTGCCCATATTTGTTGTGAAATGGGGAAGTTTTTCTGAACCAGGCTTCATGTTTCAGAGCTGAGAATATAGGGATGTGATTAATGTCTTTGAGATTTTAAAATGAAGCTAGTAACGATGTGTTCATATGTGCAAAAGCAGTGATATGGCAGAGGTTCTTGATCGTTAACATTAAGCAAATAATACCTTTACTTAGCTGTTCCTGATTCTCCTTGTGCGAAGTATGAAACTGGTTAAATTCGTATTTGGACAACATTGATTTTTTTAAAATTGAAATTGAGATATCTCATAACTCAGTTTCTTTAAAGTAATCTTTCTATGTAGGAGCTATCAAAATAATACCTAATTCCTTTTTGTTTTCACCTGGCCTCACTTGAGGTTTAAGAGAGTTAACAGAGAACTTTGGGTGGATAAGTCGTTGGTGGGGAGATTTGTGTCTTCTTACCTTATTCCTAATACGCTTGTAGGGACGGTTTTGTTTTCTGTGTTAGGGATCAAAAGGACATCGCGGTTCTATTGTTTTGTGTGTTTGGACACTGGATTTCTCCAGCAAATTTTGGAACACGTTTTAAAGTGTAAAAATAGGGTTTGCATTTTGAAAATATTTGAAATTATTTAGCCTGTATTGTTTGTGAATTTCTGGCTTCTTTTTCAAGTCAAAGGGTTTTGATGCTTTATCCAAAAAAGAGACTCTTTAGATAATTGCACACTTGAGAAACTTTTCAATATCTGGTTTTATGTACTTTGTAAATTTCATTAAAAACTGAATCACTTTTGCAGCCACTGGCGCTTCTACTACCGTATACGCGATTGAAGCGAATGGAGACCCCATTAGTGACTTTGACCCTGAGAGGGATGAAGGGGAAGTCCAGTACCTCATCAAGTGGAAGAGTTGGTCTTACATCCATAGCACGTGGGAGAGTGAAGAATCCTTGCAGCAACAAAAAGTGAAGGGCCTAAAAAAACTCGAGAACTTCAAGAAGAAAGAGGATGAAATCAAACAATGGTACATTTTCCATTGTGGATTAAAAAAACCCCAACATTTGTAGCCTGAGGGAAGGGACAGTTCAACCCTGCATATGTACCTGTCAGTCAGTGTAATGTGATCAGCTTGTTTTGTGTGAGGAATAGGGACAGATGGGTTCTATAATAATTCCTATTTTATGACTGTGCAAAATATGCTACTTCACTAAATCACATATTTTTCCTTTGAGTCAAAAATAAAAATGTGTATCCCCAGAGTAGGGGTAGGTTGTAAAGCACAGAAATGTAAAATTCCCAGAAGTATAGTAATACCTAACTTCAAGTTGCTGTTGTCTTTTTATAGAGCTTTGATGCTAAGAATAGCTAGTTTTCAGAAAAAGCCACATTAACCACTCTTAAAGCCCATAATGTATACATTAAAAAAGGCACGTTCTCTTATAAGTCTGGAAGACAGTTTTATTGTCCTGGTCTGTTTAGAAGTAGGAATTTATCATGTGCAATCACTTGAATTTATCACACAAAGTAGTTAGTTTTAGGTTTCTTTATAAATAGGCCACATCAGAGAAGAGAGCAACTGGTGTGTCCTATGAGTGAGGTTTTCCGTAATTTCTAAAAGTGTATGCTTTTTGTAAAATCTCTGGTCTAGTTACTAATAAAGGATGACTAAAAGGACAGGTAGAAGTACAGACAAGATTGTTTTCCTGCCTCTTGACTTTGCTTTGGTAGATGTGTATGGATCTCCCAGATGTATGCACTTTGTCTGTCATTTGTACAGGTTAGGGAAGGTTTCTCCCGAAGACGTGGAATATTTCAACTGCCAACAAGAGCTGGCTTCAGAGTTGAACAAACAGTATCAGATAGTAGAACGAGTGATAGGTAAGTACATGGAAACGGATTATAGCAGTGTTTGAGCTTCAGGAATAAAGGCTTTTGCTTTGGGGAGTGATGTAAATTAATGCATTCTACAGGTTCACTTTCTGAGCGTAGACAGATGCCTAGATTTATTTGGAAGGAAAAGCGAACAAAATCTGGTAAAATTTGGATATGGGGAAGTGAGCAAAAGAGGTGTTAAGGATGATGCCAAGATTTTTGACCTGAGCAAATAGGGCAGTAGAGGGACCATTTACAAATGTGGAAAGAAAAAGGGAAAGAGTTGATTTTCGGAGTGGAAGACGAGCTCAGTTTGATACACTTCGTAGTCATGTAGATGGAGAGTGTTGTGAAGCCTGTAGCACATGTGAGCCTAGAGTCTAGACTGTTAATCTGGGTTGGAGAGTTACATCTGGGAATTTATCAGTACGTAGATTTAATGAGATCATCAGAAATAGTGTACATGGTGAGAATAGGAAGTCTGAGAGCATTCCAGCTTATGGAAGTCAGAAAGAAAGCAGCAAAGGAGACTGAGAGAGGACCGTTGGTGGAGAGGAGAAGAGAGGCGGGAGAGAGAGATGAAAGGCAGGTGATTCACATGGCTCGGGAAGGAGGAGGTGCTGCTTGTCAAATACGGTGAGGACTTGAGACTTGGTCCTTGAAAGCTGGCAATAGGTGTGGTGCTGGTGCAGTGGATCCATGGAGTAGAGGGGAGGCAGGCCTGATGGGGGTGGCTTCAAGAGAGAATGAGGGGCACAGCGAGTGAAAACAACTCTGCAGGGGAGTTTTTTTGTAAGGGAAACAGAGAAATGGGGGGAATAGCTGGGCAGGGCCTTTTCTTCTTTGGAAGGTGCGAAATAGAGTATATTTGTGTAATTTTATTTGTAGGACCAGAAATGTCACTCTTGACTTGGTTACAGTGGTAACTCTTCTATCTTACCTTCCGTTTGTTTAGCTATGAAGACAAGCAAATCTACATTGGGTCAAACAGATTTTCCAGGTAAGCAAGAGACCGTGTTCATGAACATTTAGCATTTAAGAGCAGTTGGTGTTTTGCAGAGTATTTACAGTTGTGACACATGGCATTATATCAGGTATAGGTAAAACCGAATGTCAGTCCTGTCCTTTAATTGACTGTTGCTGATGTGTGCATTTTCGTGTCTGAAATAGCTCACAGTCGAAAGCCAGCACCTTCAAATGAACCTGAGTATCTATGCAAATGGATGGGACTGCCCTACTCAGAGTGCAGCTGGGAAGACGAAGCCTTGATTGGAAAGAAATTCCAGAGCTGCATCGACAGCTTCCATAGTCGGAACAACTCAAAAAGCATCCCGACCAGAGAGTGCAAGGTGTGGTGATGGCTGGCTTTGGTTTTTGGTGTTTTCTGTTGATATAAAGGGTTGGTCACACAGATATTGGGAAGAGATTATAAAAGGAAATGATAATTCCTATCTTGGAAGTGAAAGAAGATGACTTAACCTTGACGCCGAAGAAGAATAATTAAGAGGAGAGGATGAGTTATGTAATGGTGGCTTTGCCGCCTTCTTTAATCTTATAATTTACAGAATTAGATATGTCTAATCGGGGATATTATGGAGAATACTTGAAAGAATTTAAACACTTCAAAGACAAGTGACAGGAAAGTGGAGTGTCTTTGGATTCTAAGTTAGAAACTAAATATATCGGCTTTTTTATTTGCCAGAGTGGTTGTACAGATCCTTTTCTTTCATTGGAATTTATTCCATGTGTAAAGCGGCATCCGTGGGTCCTCAGTAATAAAAGTGCATGTCAGACTTGGGCTCTGTGTCTGAGAAGTTGACGTTCAAGTTCATGGCACTAAACCTCTGTCTGGAAAGCAGTTTGTAATTGAGTGTCAGTGAGTGTGATAAAGACCCTGGTCCAAGAAGTACAGAGGTAGAAGCCAGTGAGCTCCAGTAATCACGGAAGGGTTTAAAGATGAAGTTGTACTTGAGCTGCCCGGTCCTTGGAGAATGGATAGGTGCTGGACAGACAGACAGCAGGGCCCAGGCTGTTGCCCTCCCATGAAAGGCCTTCCTGGTCCAGTGGGAGGACTTACAGTCTCACGTTTGGATGAGATGGAGGTAAAGCTGGTGAGTGCATTCGGGTCAGAGTGTGTGTGTCTTGAATACCTTGAGGAATATTTTGACTTTCTCCTATGGGTATTGCTACGCCGACCCTGCTGAATGGAGCAACAGGATGGAAACGGTATTTTATTTAGAAAGCTTCATCTAAGTAAGGCCTGTGTGCAGTAGACTCCAGAGTAAGCAGTTCTTAGAGCCAGAGGCTCCAGCTGGGAAGATGTCACAGAAGCCCATGAAGGGGAGGAATAGTGTGAAGACCAGGGAAGTCACAGTGGGGACTCCTGTGCCAAGTAACTTTGGGAAGCAATCTGGAATGAGTTTCTCCCGTAAATCCACAATATCCACAAGCATGTTCACTTTGAGAAAGTCCCGAGTTGTGGAATTTCTGTAACTCTTTAATCCATTGTTTCGCAAACTGATTGGGCTACAGAATCCACATTTTGTGCAAACCATAGAGACTTGACCTTACTAGATCACTATTCTTCACACCTTTGGAGGTGAAAACTGCATTGTTTCCTGCAGAAAATCACACTCACACAGTTGAGGGTTCAAGATAGACGGGCTGCATTTCAGACTTTACAAACGTTATCATGGTGTAGTGCTGCCTATCGGGTGTACACATTTTCCCAGAAGAATTGTTTCGTACTGTTCAGAATAATATCACACCCAGGTGAAAATAGGGGACTCACTGCCATACAGTAGAGATGATGTGAAGTAAGTGCCATTTAATGATGTCACAGACTCAGGAGAAGAGCAAATTCACTGAAAAATATTTCAGGATACAGTCTGGTTTTGGGACTATGGACCACAATGAAAAGAGTTTTGGTGGGTTGGCGATTCAAATGTGAAATTTGGATTTTTATGCTTTGGGGCCGAGCACATACATCGTGGCTAGCATATTAACACAGGAACAGGAAGAAAGTTTTCTTCAGACCCGGACTTTGTTGATTTTTGTTTTTCAGGCCCTGAAACAGAGGCCACGATTTGTGGCTTTAAAGAAACAGCCAGCATATATAGGAGGGGAAAACCTGGAGCTTCGCGATTATCAGCTAGAAGGTCTCAACTGGCTTGCTCATTCCTGGTGCAAGTAGGTAGAAAACATGTTTGGAATTTTCTTTACTGTTTTTGGCTTCTTCATTGTTAGATGCAAAGAATTCTTCGTACTGTATAGAAATAAAAATAAAAATGATGTGATTGAGAGAAGTCCCTTCTGGGAGTTTTTATGTGTGTATAACACCATTGTAATCTGAAGTCTAGAATAGTCGGTCCTCTGTATCCGTGGGTTCTGTATCCATGGATTCAACCGTGGATAGAAAATATTTGGAAAGAAAACTTATGGTGTTGGCTGACATGTACTATAGTTGCCTCTGTATTAAACATGTACAGGCTTTTCTTTTTGGTCATTATTCCCTAAACAATACACCCGTAGACTTTAAATTACCTCTAGGTTCCTTTTAATACCTAATACAATGTAAATGGTTACACACAGATACTACCCATTTTATAGAAGGGGCTCGAGTCTCCTCGGATGTTGGTATCCGCAGGGGTCCTCAAACCGATCCCCTGCGGATGCTGAGGAACAACTGTACTTTGTTATTTAGTTTTCTTGGGGGAATTTGTCATAGTCAGAGAACCCTGTCAGTATGTCATTCCGCAGTGTAAATGGCAAGATAATATGCACAAATCTTTGGTGTGGAAGGAGTTATTCTTAGAAGAAAAGAAAATATCTTTCGTATTCATGTTCTTTGTAGGCCAGGAAAAACCTTCACTTAATACAGTAATGTTGCAGAGTAGAGTGATCTCCGCCCCCCACCCTGAGATTGCTCTCCCATTAAGAGGAAGGTCTAAACAGCTGAACCAGTGAAATTATCCTTACTGTTTGTAACAGAGCCACCTTTATCTTAGGGAAAAAAAGAGATGAGACATTGATAGCATGTGAGGTTTAAAGGTATTCTGACACGGTACTCATAAATTTTATTCACCAAATTCAATTGCAAATTCAAGTACTCCTTAACTGTTGTGTATTAGGGACCCATCTAGGCCTTGAGGATGTAACTGAACGAAGACAGACCGGATTTCTGCGTCCTCGTGGAGCATACCGTGTGAGAAGTACCTTTACTGCTTATCTATCTGCAGATTCGCCCACGTGCAAACTCTTCATTCTTAAGTGTTTATCGTAAAGCAGAAATTCTCATTTCAGAATTAAACAACAGCCTGAAGATAAAAGCACGGGAGCTGTTTTTGTCTAGTTCTAGGGATACATATATACAATGACGCTTCCCTAGTTGAGCCACCTACTACTCTGTCTTGTAAATCTGATGCACTATTTACCATTCCATTGTGCAAATGAGAGATCTTGAGACCTACTTTATATGACTGAGAATGTGGGTCTGCTGTAACGATTCTAAATTGCTTGAAAACTGTGTTTGTTTCAGAGAACAACGAGACCTAATCTTCCTAAACGATATTGAAACGCTCAATAGGACCTTACGAAGTTTTATAGTTGAGGGCTTTTAGGAGCATAATTGTCATGTCCCTTGTCCAAAGTCACACCATGTTTCACGTAGAGCCCTTGGCTATCATGTTTTACTTAAAACTGACCCATTCAGAATCAGCTGAAAAGGACCCACACAGCTCTTACTTAGGCCCTGGTCACAGGAATCTGATGTGAAGTTACATGCTATTTAGGTTTCGTTTCAGAAAAATAGGCAAATTAATTCAAATCTACCTTAGTGTGTGTATATATATGGACAATGGCAGTTTGTTTGGGAGAGAAAATGTTGGAGAAAATTCACCCTGTGTCCTCCCAATTGGTGAAGAAAGGTGGGTGAGATAGAGAAATTACTCAGAGGAATACGCTATATCTGAACATACCGTATTTGCCGGCGTATAAGACGATTTTTTGGCCCTGAAAAATATGCCTCCAAGTGGGGGGTCGTCTTATACGCCAGGTACATTTCAGA